GAGCCGCGTCAGGCGGGGGGAGCACGAAATCGCCGCAGATTTGCAGCATCCCAGTGCCGCTGCAAAACCAGCTCAGTCTTGTCGGAGCAGCGAGCAGGAACAGTCCCTCTGCCGCCACAGAGACGCCAGCTCACCAGCCCACGTGCCCAGCACCGCACCAGAAGGACAGGATGGCACCGGTCTGTGAAAGCCCACCCCACCTTCCAGTTTGCCGCTCAAATCCCAGATGGTCCTGGGCTGCACAGCTCGGTGGGATGCTCTGGGCAGCCCCGGCAGCACCCCTGGGGCAGGAGCTGCCACAGCCCTGCACCCCCTGCCTCTTGCAGCCCCCCACCCCGCAGGCAGCCCCCCCGGGACTCAGAACAGGTTTATCTTCACTTTTTAAATGCATCCTTGTGGAAGGCCCTGCTGCAGGACACCAGGGAAGCCGACGGGGAAGAGGGTTTGATAACCAGGGCCATCAGTGCCAGAAACCTGCAGGAACCACCAACCACGGCCGAACTCATCCCAGAAGGCCTTTACTGGCTTAAAATCTTGGTTTCTCTAGGACTTTTCTGGGTTTTCTTTCAGTTAACACAAAACCTCAAAAAGGGAAGGCAATTTATGCCGTTTTCTGATAAGCAGCATTTTGTGCCTGGTTGAGCCAACGGCTTCTCCAGACCCACCACGTCAGCAAGTCCCCAGGGTTTTCCTGACCTCTTCCAACGATTCTGCAATACGCACCGCTTCCCTTTTTCATTTCCCTTTTGCGTTCATCAGCAAAGCCCGGCAGCCAAGGGGGCTCGGAGCCACAGCGCACCCAGAAACCACGGCGGGGACTGGCGGGGAAGGGCGCCGGGGGCGAGGAGGGGAATCAGGCAGGAATCCCTCTGCCACGGGCCCACGGGGGGGATGTCTCCTGCAGACTGAGGTTCAATACAAAATTTCGCTTCACAGACCAGGTTTTAAGGAATTACCAGGCTTTGATCAGAAGACATGGAAAGCAATTGCTGAGGAGCTCTCGGAAGCTGCAGGCACCTCCACTGGGGATCCTGGACCAAATGACGGGAACTGCTGGCTGTGCAAAAGCCACCTGAAACACGGTTCGCGTGTGATGGCAGCTCTTCCTCCAGGAAGGGGTGGGCTGCAGGAGCCAGGAGTCACCTCTGCTTTCCCTGGCGCGAGCTGGGAGCGAGCACGTCTCTGTGAGCAGAGCAGGGCTTTGCTCCCTGCTCCAAATCCTTGCCCCACCATGGCACCTGCCTCCGGGCTGCCCACGACCGAGGGGCCAACACAAAACCACACGAGTTGTCCAGAAAAAGGCTGGGCTGGGAATGTGACACATGGTCCAGGATGGCTTGCATGTGGTCCCTGCTGTGCTGGCACCCGCGGCAGCGTCTTCAATGTGCTGCAACACGCTCAGCTCCTCCTGCATCCGCTGCTCTCCGAAAGCAACTTTGAATGGTAGAGACTTGATGTCCCCTCTTCCCTCTCCAACTGGCCCAAATGCTGACACCCCTGGCACGTCTTCAACTGCCTGCAGGGTCCAGCCACCCGCAGCTCCACCGCCAGAGAGCCTGGCCCAGCCCAGCCACAGGTATGCAAAAGCTTCGCCAGACACATCTTTGCCCCAAATTTTGGTGATGCAATGGACACAGCATCCATGCTGACCCCAGAGGTCATGCCCAGCCACACTGATCACTTGGGAATGGGATTCCTCCAGGTGGCACAAAAATCCTTGCAGGCAAGATGGATTTTGTGGCTCCAGCAGGTGGATGAGGTCTTTGCAGGCTCTAATTCATCACTGGTTTTGCCAGGGTCCCCTCAGCACCCTGCCTCGGTGCCCTGGCTGGAAGACAAATGACCTTTCTGCCCAGCCCCACCACCTTCCAGTTGGGTTACTGGGAGAGGAAGCCAGGACCCAGCTTTTGCGGGGGCGAGCGGTGCCCCCAGCTCACTCTGACCCCCATCCACATGCACATGGGCACCCCCTCACGGCCGCTTCAGCCATCGTCCCCTGCTCGGCCAGCACCCGGGACCTCGCCTTGCTGGCACGCACAAAGAAACAGCCTCGGCCTCCACGCCGCATCTACCAGCTGTGGCGAGCAGCAGAGCTGGGGTGGCCGGGCCCTGCTCCTTGGTGTGGCCAGGCGGCTGTCACCCTGTCCTAGGACAGGATGGCACCGCTTTGATGCGACCTGCTCTCGCTAAATGGCTGATGGCCCTTTTGCAACCCCATACCCCTCGGTGCTCACAAAGCAGCCATTCCCCGGGGACTGGAGATGGCAGCACTGACAGCCCCGCTCCTGGTGATCTAAAGTCACATCTCCACCAGAACATGGCCCTCTGTGGGGCAGATGCCCAAAGTGTCCTTGGCTGGATGGCTCCCACCAGTGCCTAGACCATCCCCACCAGCACTCGGCACAGCGAGTGATGAGTGCTGAGTGCTGACCCCTGTCCAAGCTCCAACCCAGAGGGAAACACCGGGGGTTTAATTTCTCACCTGCAACCTCCCCGTCCAGCCTCCCCGACCGGCTTTGTGCACAGGCGGGAGAGCCTGGCAGCCGGGAGCTTCGCCTGCAAAGCCGCTGCTCTTCCAGGAGCTCTTCTCCGAAATGCTCCATCCCCCCCGCGTGTCTCGCAGACGGATGCTTGACTGAGCACCCCATTCAGATGGGAAAAAGCCAAATTCAAGCCAAGCCTTTACAACGCTTCCCTTCGACAGCGGGTGTTAGAGCTCTCTGGGGCTCCGAGCATTGCAGGGCACCTACAGCATGGAGCCCTGTGGCTCCTGCAGAAGGCACCAGAGGGGACAGCGCTGTCCCCGAGCACAGCACACCCTTCCCAGGGAACCCAGAGCCCTGGGAACGGGGCTGCCACCTGGAGCCAGGCAGGATGGAGCTACCCCAGGGCTGGCAGCAAGGAGGAAGAGCCACACGGGTCCGAGAACAAGACAATCCCGCCATTTTCCCCAAATCCTCAGCATGCTTTGGTTTCAAAACCTCCGTGCAGAGGGATCACGCCAAAGGGACCTGTGTCAGCCAGAGCCCACCGCCACAGGCAGGCCAGCAGCCCGAGCTGGGCATCACGGTGCTGCGGGACAGGGACGGGCACCCCAGGCCCCTCACCCCAAAGCAGATGGTCTCACCACCAACACCTGCAATGAGCAGGCAGGGCCTGGCTCTGCAGTGCCCCTCGGCTTGGAAATTCAACATCGCAGGCTTTCAGCGCGGGGGAAAACCCCCGGGCCCCTCCCGGCCGCGCT